GTCTTCCTGCAGCAGGTAAAGGCCTCTGTCTGGCCCTGTGCTGCTCTCAGCCCCAGGGCTCCAGAGCTTCTCCATCCTCTGTAGGAGAGTCTGGGCTGCTCAGTCAAGTGGACTAGGAAGCATGTGGGCTGGGGTGGCTTGGGCTGTGAAAGGAAGGGGAAAAGCTTGTTTAGAGAAGGCAGGTACATTACCTAAAGGTGGATTTTAGGGTAGTTGAGCTCCATGAAGCCCCTCTGTGGACAGCCTCTCACTGTAATGAGGTCACAGAAAGGAAAACAGCAAATTGTGCTCCAGCAGCTGCTTCATTCCAGTAAATAAGAGCAAATCCCTTGCATTCCCAAGGCCTGTGCCCCCAGTTCTGGTCTGATTCCACACCCAGTTCCTTTAGGCTCTAAACCCTGAAGGAGCTCTGTAGATGAGCCCTGGAGACTTGGAGGAGGCACCAGGCTCGCAGGCTGGCTCTGGCTGCAGGGTGAGAGGCTCAGCTCTGCTCTTTGCTGCTCGGGTTTGAAGCTGGAGGCTCCCTGGCTTCAAGAGCTCTCGCTGTTTGGTACCTCTGTGTCTTTGTGCCTTTGTTCCCAGATGCAGAACCCAGATTCCCTTTCCATTCTCACCAACCCCCGCGCCATGCAGGCGCTCCTCCAGATCCAGCAGGGACTCCAGACGCTGCAAACGGAGGCCCCAGGACTAGTGCCAAGGTAACGAGTGCTTCTGAGTGGGTTTCTGCAGGCAGAGCTCCCTGCCAGCAGGCAGAGTAGCTGCTGATTGATGGAGATCTGCTTGGGGTGCATGCAGAGCTCCGAGTTGCAGCTATTGAGCGCTTGCTGCTTGTTTGGCCTACACGTGGCAAGTCTTTGACCCTGCCATAAAGCTGGGGAAGGGCTTTTGACAAGGAGCATGTAGAGATAGGCCAAGGGGAATGGCTTTAACCTGCCAGAGGGGAGACTGAGATGAGCTCTTAAGCAGAAGCTCTTCCCTGTGAGGGTGGTGGGACACTGGGATGGGTTGAATGGAGAAGGTTTGGGTGCCCCATCCCTGGCAGTGCTCAAGGCCTTGTTGGACATAGGGGCTTGGAGCATCCTGCTCCAGTGGAAGGGGTCCCTGCCTGTGGCAGGGGGTTGGAACTGGATGAGCTTTAAGCTCCCTTCCACCCACGTCACTCTGGAACTCTTTTGTAAACCACTTCCCATCTCTTGTTTGCTGTAACTGGTATCAGCTGCGCTCACCAGTGTACAGCAGGGGATGCACAGGGTGGGTGGGTTGGGACAGGGGGGTGTGTGCGAGCAGCCCTTCTGCTCTCTGGCAGCATGGGTCTCCTTGAGGCTCTGTAGGTCCCTTCAGCCCCATTGCTCCCTCCCAGCAGCGTACAACCCGTGTGGTTTCATGTCCCTAAGGGGCAGCCTGGCAGAGCCTGGGGGGGGGGAGAAGCTCCCAGCCCTCAAGGGACACCCCCAGGTGCCAGCCTGCTTCTGAGCAGCCCCTGCCTTCCTCTGCAGCCTCGGCTCCTTCGGCTTGCCCCGAATGCCCCCGTCCTCCACAGGAGGAAGCACAATCCCGGAGAACCCCGTTCCCTCCGCTTCGACGCCGGCCAGTGCCTCTCCAGCCGGGGCTGGGAACCCCCAGCAGCAGCTCATGCAGCAGATGATCCAGCTGCTGGCCGGAGGAAGCTCTCAAGTAAGTGATGCCCAGCTACATGGGAACGCACTGCTGGGGAGTGGCCATCTCCAGGGGGAGGTAGAGGTTGGCCCCATCCCACCCCATTCCAGGGATGTGGTCCCCAGCAGGTTCCTCTGGTGCTTTATGGCAAGGTGGCTCAGGATGGCTTCAGGGTGTAGTAACCCTTTAGAGAGGTTTGGATCCAAGAGTGTCAGGGATCCTGCTCCTCCAGTGCTGCAGCTGTGCCACACTGGGTACCATCACTGTTCTGCTGTCCCCACCATCGGAGCTGTTGGAGCATCATCATGAGGATGAGCAGGGGCTGGAGCAGCTCCTGTATGGAGACAGGTTGAGGACATTGGGGCTGTTCAACCTGGGGAAAAGAAGCTCCCTGGAGACCTCAGAGCAGCTTCGAGTGTCTGAAGGATGCTGGAGAGGGGCCTTCATCAGGGATGGTAGCGATAGGACAAGGGGTGATGGGTTCACACTGAAACAGGGGAGATTTAGGTTGGACCTAAGGCAGAAGCTCTCCCCTGTGAGGGTGCTGAGGCGCTGGCACAGGGTGCCCAGAGAAGCTGTGGGTGCCCCATCCCTGGCAGTGCTCAAGGCCAGGTTGGACCCAGGGGCTTGGAGCACCCTGCTCTAGTGGACGGGGTCCCTGCCTGTGGCACTGGATGCGATCCAAGGTCCCTTCCAACCCAAACCAGTCTGGGATCCTATGAAGTATTTCAGTGCACCTGAAGCTGAGCCCGTGCTCCCTGCCTGCCCATCACTGCCTCTTGTGGGTGCTGCTCTTTGCTCTCTGGGTCTGAAGGTCTTTGTCCTTTCCCTCTGCAGGCGCAGAGCCCTGAAGTGCGATTCCAACAGCAGCTGGAGCAGCTGAATGCCATGGGCTTCATTAACCGTGAGGCCAACCTCCAGGCTCTTATTGCCACTGGTGGAGACATCAATGCAGCTATTGAGAGACTGCTGGGCTCCCAGCCCTCCTAAACTCTTGTCATGCTGCCCCACAGGCGTCAGCACATGCATCCATACACATGCACAAGGGGATCTTTCAGGAAAGCCCACCATCATTTTCATATCTGACAGCTGTCCATGTATTTAAAACACACAAAGATACAGCTTAACCCTGACCTTCCTACTAAGTTAAGATTTCATGTTGAAATGCTCTTTAACTGGCTTGTATGTGGATTCCAGTTCTCATCGTGGCCACAGAGACTTCAGATGTGTATTTTTTCCTAAATATGCCCTGTCTCAGACACTCTTCTCTCTTTCTCTAGATGGTAGAGGCGATATTCTAGTTACTTACCGGAATGATTGTGTTTGGAGTAGCTTGATTTTAACTGTACATGATTTGCCCTGCCCTTAGCCCTCCTTTCAGGCAGATATTTAAATCTTGAGCCAAGTTTGGGGTTTGGTTTCGTTCACCCTGGATCAAAAGAAAAGAGAAAAAAAAAAATAAGAGGTTACCTGCAATTTTCTGCTGTTCTTTGTCTTAATGTTCTGTTGGATGAACTGAGCACAGAGGTGACCTGCTAGGGGGTTAATGGATGGGACAACAACATGGAAATGAGCTTCAATGCCTTCAGGGATCAGGCTTTGCTGGTCTTGAGCAGAACGGTGATGGAGAGGGTGTGTTTGTGCCCAGGCTCAGGTCTTGCACAGTGTCCCAGGGAGGGGGTTGGCTCTCATGCTCTATGGGCTCATTTCTGGACCTCTTTGCCACCGAACCCAAAAGGCAAAGAGCAGAATCCTTGCACCTCATTGGGAAAACGCTGACGTTCATCGTTCTGCCCGGTTCAGCTCCTCCTCCATCCCTCCCTTTCCCCCCACTCCTCACTTTGGTGTGTTTGAATGTGCCCGAGGAGCAGCAGGGTGACGTGGTCCTGTCCCTGTCCCTGTCCCCCCCCCCCCCCCGAGCCTCCATGGCTGTGTAATTGCCATCCCATTTTAATCAAAGACAAATAAATGCGCACAACCATCCGTCTCCCTGCACTCCATGTATCTTCCTTGCTTGCCAGCTGGAGCTGATGGGCTTCCCCATGGGAACTGATGGCTCTTGTCCACCCCCCCTTCTTGCAGGTAACACTGGGGGTCAAGCATCCTCCCCACCTCAGGCTCCCTATGGACAGGAAACCCTATGGACACTTAAGGAATGCTGCAGAAGCGTTGCCCAAAGCTTCCCAACTTCCAATGGGAAAGCTGCCTTTGAATTAGGGGCTCTCAAGTGTGTGTGCAGGACAAGGAAACCCTATGGACACTGAAGTACTTAAGGAATGCTGCAGAAGCGTTGCCCAAAGCTTCCCAACTTCCATTGGGAAAGCTGCTTTTGACTTAGGGGGCTCTCAAGTGTGTGTGTAGGACAAGGTAAACTTGATGGTTCTGCTCCGTATGGGTGACCTGGTCATTGAGGCCAGTGGGTTCTGCTCTATGGGTGACCTGGTCATTGAGGCCAGTGGGTTCTGCTCTGTATGGGTGACCTGGTCACTGAGGACGGTGGGTTCTGCTCTGTATGGGTGACCTGATCATTGAGGCCAGTGGGTTCTGCTCTGTATGGGTGACCTGGTCATTGAGGCCAGTGGGTTCTGCTCTATGGGTGACCTGGTCATTGAGGCCAGTGGGTTCTGCTCTGTATGGGTGACCTGGTCATTGAGGCCAGTGGGTTCTGCTCTGTATGGGTGACCTGGTCACTGAGGACGGTGGGTTCTGCTCTGTATGGGTGACCTGATCATTGAGGCCAGTGGGTTCTGCTCTGTATGGGTGACCTGGTCATTGAGGCCCAGCACCCTGCTCCAGGGGAAGGGGTCTCTGCCCATGGCAGGGGATGGGACTGGAGGAGCTTTAAGGTCCCTTCAACCCAACCCCATGATTCCCAGTGAAACCCATGATTCCATGTACATGTGTGCTATACATGTATGTTCATGTGTGCTATACATGTATGTACATGTAGATGTGTGTGTACATGTGTGCTATACCTGTATGTGCATGTAGATGTGCATACATGTGTGAATACGTGTGTACATGTGTACTATACATGTATGTACATGTGTGCTATACATGTATGTGCATGTAGATGTGTGTATACATGTGTGTTCATGTGTGAATACACGTGTGCTATACCGCTATGTGCCTGTAGCTGTGTGTACACGTGTGAACACGCGTGTTCCTGTCTCTACACACCTTGTACATGCGTGTACACGTGTGTAACTCGTCCGCCCCCTCCATCGTGGTCCCGCCTACCGCGCATGCGCAGTTTGCGCTTCCTGCGGGCGGCGGCGTGCGGGGCCCGATCCCGGTCCCGATCGCGATCCCGGTCCCGATCCCGATCCCGATCCCGGTCCCGGTCCCGATCCCGATCCCGGTGCCGGTCCCGGTGCCGCCGCCATGAGCGCTCCGGGGTCACCGGGCCGCGGTTTGGGGTTCGCGGAGAGGCAGCTCCGGCGCCACGGCTGGAGGCGAGGTTCGGCTCCCACCGCATCAGCACCGCGCGGGTGCGCCGGGACCACCCCGGACCCCGGACCCGGTGCCTCCGCTGCGGAGCCGGTGTGGGTCGTGATGGGACTGGTTTGGGCCGGGGTGGGACCGGTGCGGGCCGGGGTGGGATCCATGCGGTCCGGGATGGGACCGGTGCGGTCCGGGATGGGACCGGTGCGGGCCGGGGTGGAGCCAGTGCGGGCCGGGATGGGACCGGTGTGGTCCACAATGGAACCGGTGCAATCTGTGATGGGATCCATGTGGTTCGTGGTGGAACCGGTGCGGTCCATGATGGAACCCATTTGATCCATGATGGAACCGGTGCAGTCTGTGATGGGACCCAATGCGGTCCATGATGGATCCAATGTGGTCCATGACGGATCCAGTGGGGTCCATGATGGATCCAGTGTGGCCCATGATGGATCCAATGCAGTCCATGACGGAGCCGTTGTCTGCAGGGCAGGGGCTGGGCCGGCAGGAGCACGGCATCGCTGAGCCCATCCGGGTGAAGGTGAAGTGCGGCACGGCCGGGGTGAGTCGCGGGTCCCCATCCATCCCCACCCCATCCCATCCCCGGTGGGGCTCAGGCTTGGTGGCAGCATCCCCCTTGGCTCCGGTGCTCCCGCAGGTGGGACACGACGCATCCGAGCCCTTCTCCTTCCATTGGTGGGACCACGTCTTCAACCAGGCGGCCGCCAACATCGCAGTGGAGGCCGGGCAGGTGGGTACCAGTGGGGGTCCCGGTGATGCGGTTGAATGATGAAACCCCTCAGCTTAAAGCATTCCCAAGCCCTTTCCCTCTCTTATCCCTGCAGGACGGCATCTCCGTGAAGGCGCTTTCCGAGCAGGGGGTCAGGATCAGCAATAGGAAGCCCCACAAGGCCAGCGGCACCCCCAGCTTGTTGTACGGCCGCTTCGTGAAGGTAAAACGCCTTTGGGGGCAGCCCAAGCTCTGCACCCCCTTTATCAGCGCATCCCCCCCCCAGCCCATTGCTGCTGTTGCCCCCCAGGACCCCCCTTTTCCTTGTGCCCCCTTCTCTGCAGTCGGCCACGCTCACAGCGCACGGCGAGGAGCCCACAGGCTCCATGAGCAGCGAGGAGGAGGAGGAGGAGGAAGAGCTGGACCTGTCCTCAGCCAGGAGGCAAGGCTCCATCCCCACCCTGCAGGGCTACGGGGGGGTGATGCTGCGAGGGGGACCCCGGGTCCTGAGCCCTGTCTGTGTCCCACAGGCTGACGGATGAGGAGCTGATGCGAGTGTGCGGGGGCCGCACAGCACACAAGTGAGTGGGTCCTGGGGCGCGGGTTGAGGGGCACGGGTCCTGGCAGGGGGGTGCCAGAGCCCGGTGCCATTGGTTGTTATAGGGGTGCCCGGCACGGCCTGACGATGAGCGCCAAGCTGGCGCGCCTGGAGGAGCAGGAACGAGCCTTCCTGGCCACGTACGGACACAAGGAGCCCAACAGGAGGCAGGGGAAGAAGGGGAAAAGGGAAGAGCGCAGGGATGGAGCCAGTGCCCAGGTGCTGCAGAGGCAGGAGCCGAGCGAGGAGGAGGAGGGAGATGAGAGAAAGGCCGCAAAGAGGAAGAAGAAGAAGCACCAGGAGCCAGATGGAGAAGAGGAGGTGGCAGGAGAGGAAGGGAAGGCTGCAAGGAGGAGGAAGAAGAAGAAGAAGAAGCAGGAGGAGGAAGAGGAGCCAATTGTGATGGAGAAAAGGAAGAAACAGGAGAAGAACAAGGAGGAGCCAGTTGTGATGGAGAAGAAAAGGAAGAGGCAGGAGAACAAAGAACCAATTGTGATGGAGAAGAAGAAGAGGAAGAAGCAGGAGAAGGAGAATGAAGAAGAGCGAGTTGTGATGGAGAAGAAGAAAAGGAAGAGGCAGGAGAACAAAGAAGAACCAGTTGTGATGGAGAAGAAGAAGCAGAAGGAGAACAAGGGAGAGCCAATTGTGATGGAGAAGAAAAGGAAGAAGAAGCAGAAGGAGAACAAAGAGCCAACTGTGATGGAGAAGAAGCAGCAGCAGCAGCATCAGGACAGAGAAGAGCCAGCTGAGGGATTGATGCCTCTGGAAGACACAGATGGGCCAGACCAAGCCAGACACAGCCCCAGGAAGAAGAAGAAGAGGAGGAGGAGGAAGGACCCAGAGTGAGCAAGGGCCCTGTGGCTGGTTCCATCTGCCTGCACGGGTCCCAGTTCCTGTCCTTGGTGCCCAAGGATGCTCTGGGCTCTTTGTGGCCTGGCCGAGTGCTCATCCCTGCCTGGGGATGCTGGGCTGGGACTGCTTGGGCTGGAGCTGGATTGAGCTTTACTTCCATCAGGAAGCACCCTCCAAGCAGGGACCCCTTTGCTGTGGGGCTAACCCAAAGGGACGCAAGGGGACAGAACCCCCCCAGAGCACTGAAACGTTCTGTCAAGGGCACGAATAAAGCTTTTATTGCCATGAAACTATCCCAGATCCGGGATCCCATTTACCCCTCCCAACACCGGGATTAGGCCGGAGCATCCTGGTCTGCACTGAGCTTCCCTCGCACTGCATAGGGCCTGGAGCCCAGCGATGCGCTGAGCGTGCTGAGCACCCTGAGCCCTGCTCTAGGTGAGCTGCAGGACGCATTCTGTCCCGGGGTACGGGGGCAGGTTTAAGGTGTATTTCTCCTGCAGTGCTGGGGGCACGAACCTGCCCCCCAGGAAGTGGAAGCGCCCTTCGAAGTGCAGCGCTGCCTTCTTGGGTGCTGTGAGTGAGATGAGCATGTCCGGCCGGAGCCCGTCCGCCTTCCCCTTCTCCACATCCCAGCCTGCAATGAGTCCCCCCCTAAGGACAAGCTGGAGCCAGGAGGACCCCAACTGGGCCCCTTTGGGGGCAGCAGGTACTCACCCGAGGGGATGTCGATGCTGGCGATGGGCACCGTGATGCGCCCCAGGGTGCTGAGGATGCTGCCGAAGGGCTCCCGCACGGCTCCCTTGAAGCTGAACCCGAAGATGGCATCCACCACCAGCCCATAGAGCTCATCGATGAGCGCAGGCTGCGGAGGGGAGGGTGGAAGCCAGCCCAATGGGTACCACACATATGGAGCCATAGGAGGGCAATGGGGCTGGTGCAGGGGTTGGAGCACAAGGGATGGGGAAGAGAAGGCTCAGGGGGATGGAGCCAGGATGGGGCTGGGCTCTGCTCCCAAGAGGGAACGGCCTCAAAGCTGCACCAGGGCCGGTTTAGATGGAGCTGAGGACCAATTCCTTCTCCAAAGGATGCTCAGGGCAGGGCTGGAGCAGCTGAGGCTCTCAGTGCCATGGGTTAGGGGTGGCCTTGGCAGTCAGGATGGGATGCACTGAAAGGGCTTTTCCATGGTTCCATATCCTCACCTCGGCCGGGAATTCGGGCAGGAAGGGGATGTCCATCTTCTGGCACTGCGTGGTCAAGCCCTCAAAGAGGGGTTTGCTGGGGCGCTTGGGGTAATAGACGGTGGGCTCGTAGCCCTGCAGGAACAACAGGGATCTGAGCAGGAACCCCAGAGCTGATGGGTTCGGGGTGGGGGGGACAGGACAACAAGAAGAGACTCACAAAGAGCTTCAGGTGCCGGGCGCAGACCAAGCCATCGCCGCCGTTGTTCCCCGGCCCGCACACAACCAGCACCGCGGGGCGGCTCGTGGTGAAGGAGCTGGGGGGATAAACCTGGAGTGGGGCAGGAGGGTGATGCTGAGGATGCAGGGATCCCCCCCCCCATCATCCCCCTGCTCCTGTGCACCCACCTTGGCGATGGCCGTGGCGCAGCTCAGCCCCGCCAGCTCCATCAGTTGGTCCACGCTGAACTTGTACTCGGTGAACAGCTCCTGGTCGATGGCCTGGGCCTCATCCTGCCTGCATGGGGAGGGAGGGAGGGCGCCTATGGGGACCCCAAAACCCGCCTGCACCCCGCTTCTGGAGGCTCAGATGCGCTCGGCTTCGTGAAGAGCCCCAAAGGGGACGCGCACCCCCCCCCCCCATGCACCCCAATGGCTCTGCCCGACCCCTCCATCGCGTTACCCCCCTGCGGACCCCCAAGCACCCTCCCTGCAGCGCATCCCTGAGGGCGTACCCGAGGAACCGGAGCCCCCGCGGGCCGGGCCCGGCGCTGGACCCGTGCATGGCGCGGTGGGAGCCGCCCCACGGAGCCCGCTCCCAGCCCCAGCCCCGGTTCCAGCAGCGCCCGCCCGCCCGGACCCCCCCCGCCGCCACCAGCAGCCCCAGCCCCAGCAGCGCCCTCGGCCCCGGCATGCGGAGGGCTCCGAGCGGCTCCGCTCCGCACGGAGCAGGCGCAGGGACGGCCCCGGGGCGGAGCTGGGTCCCCCGTACCCGCCCCGTCGGGTGCCGGAAGGGGAACGGGGGAGACCCGGGTTCGAAACCGGGCAGGGCCCCGGTGCGAGCTCCCGGTGCTGCCGCCGTCACAAGAGGATGCAGAGGAGCGACAGCGTCCTCCTCCCGGTGCGGGGCTCCCTCCTCCCGGTGCGGGGCTCCCTGCTCCCGGTGCTGGGCTCCCTCCTCCCGGTGCGGGGCTCCCTCCTCCCGGTGCTGGGCTCCCTGCTCCCGGTGCTGGGCTCCATCCTCCCGGTGCTGGGCTCCCTGCTCCCGGTGCTGGGCTCCCTCCTCTCGGTGCGGGGCTCCTTGCTCCCGGTGCAGGGCTCCCTGCTCCCGGTGCGGGGCTCCCTGCTCCCGGTGCTGGGCTCCATCCTCCCGGTGCTGGGCTCCATCCTCCCGGTGCTGGGCTCCATCCTCCCGGTGCTGGGCTCCCTGCTCCCGGTGCGGGGCTCCCTGCTCCCGGTGCTGGGCTCCATCCTCCCGGTGCTGGGCTCCATCCTCCCGGTGCGGGGCTCCCTGCTCCCGGTGCGGGGCTCCCGGCTCCCGGTGCTGGGCTCCATCCTCCCGGTGCTGGGCTCCATCCTCCCGGTGCGGTGCTCCCGGCATCCACGGGGCCGCTGGTCTATGGGGCTGGGGGGGGGGGGTGGTGCAGCGAGGCCACTGAGGCATTAACGGTGTGTATGGGGTACCTGAGCCCCCCCCGGGTCATGGCTACATCCCGGGATGTGGGGATGCAGCAGTTTCTGACTCACATCCTGCTCCCCCGAAGCTGTGTCCCGGTGGCTTGGGGCTGAGTGGGGGGAAGCTGCAGCTGACCCGGGTCCTGCTGGGATGGGGGGGACACATCCTGCTGGGATGGGGTCCTGCTGGGATGGGGGGGACCCTGCGGGGTTCACATCTCTGCCCCCCACCCCGCACCCTGATGCATGCACCAAGCCCTGCCTGGGCTGCGATGCTCCAGTGCCCCAACCTGCCCCGTGCCATGGGGTGATGCTCACCCTATGGGAGAGGCGGCCGTGGAGGCAGAGCTGGTGCTGGATGGCATCGGTGAGCCTGTGCACGACCCGCTCACGGGCAGCTCTGGGGGTGTCCTGCAGAGGAGGCACCCCCCGGTTAGCACCAAGGGCTGGGGTGGTCACCCCGTGATGCAGGAGAGCATCCAGCCCACCCCATGGTCCTAACCTGGCAACGGGAAAGCAACGTCAGCGCCTCCTTGTAGTGCCCGATGGCTCTGTGGGGGTTCCCCAGGTGGAAGTAGGCAGCTCCCAGCCCCTCACACGCTTGCCACTGCCCCTGTACATCCCCTGCGAGGTGAGGAGCAGCATCAGCGCTGGTCCAGCGTGGTCCTGCAGTGTGAGCATCACTGATGCCCTTTGGATCCGGCACGCACCCGCTATGGGGATGCTGCAGAGCCACCAGCACAGGGATGATTCCCCTGCATCCCCCTTACCTGAGTCCCGGAAGGCTTGCAGGGCGTGCAGGTAGCTCTCTGCAGCAGCCTCATGGTTCCCCAGCCGGCTGCAGGCATAGGCCAGGTTCCCAAAGCACTGTCCCTGTGCTTTCCGGTTCCCAAGAGCGCCTGGAATCGGGAACCCCATTGGAACTGGGCACATCCAGCAAAGCCAAGAGCAAGGCATCACCCCGGTGCCACCAACCGTGCAGCGCTACCGCCTGCCGGTGCCAGCGCAGCGCCGTGCCGAAGCTGCCCAGCGCGTTGTGGGCAGCACCCATGTTCTGCAGCAGCGCGGCCGCCCTGTGCTGCTCCGGTCCGGATGCCAGAGCCCTCTGGAAGCTCTCGGCAGCCAGGGGGAATATGTGGAGCTGGGAATAGCTGAGCCCGATGTCGCTGTAGAGCTTCCCTATGGAGCAGGGGGGAAAGGCTGGGTGGGGGGCTGGTCCAGGCACCGGGAGCGAGGGATGGAGCGCGCCGTTACCTCGCAGGGCTGCATCCCGGATGCTGCCGCAGAGCGAGCGGCACTGGGCGAGGACCGCGGCGATCTCGGCCACCCCGAAGGCCCGGCTCTGCAGCATGGAGCCGCTGGCCCTGCTCAGAGCCACGGCCGTGGCCTCGGGGCTGGCGGCCGCCGCAAAGCCCCGCGCAGCGTCCAGGAAGCACCGCGCCGCCCGCGCCGGATCCCGCATCCCCAGGTAGCAGCAGCCCATCCGCACACGGGTCCCGGCTCTGCTGCCGGCCTGGGCCGCGCCGTCACCATCAGCGGCGAGGCCAAAGCGCTCCAGAGCCCTTGGGAAGTCCTGGAGCCCCTCGCGAGCAGCCTCGATGCTGAAATAAAGGCCCCGCGAGGGCTCCCCATTGCCCCCCAGGGAGGACTGGGACCGCAGGAGGAACGCGAGGCCCTTTTTGGGTTTCCCCATCTCCACGTAGGCAGCCCCCAGGTTGAAGGCACAAGCGCTGCGGAGCTGGGGGGTCCCCATGCTCCTGGAGAGGACGAACGCCTTCCTGAAGCACCCAACCGCCTCCTGCCCATGGCCCAGCACCAGCGCCCGGTGCCCGGCTCGGGTCAGCCCCGCAATCCTGGCCTCCGGCTCCACCACCTCCTCCCCTCCTTCCTGAGCATCTGCCCCGGCCTCCGGCTTCTCCTTCCCTTTCTTCCGGCTCTGTTTTGGGGTCGCAGGGGTTGTGGGATGTGGTTTGGGGTCTGCTGCCTCCTCTGAAGCCATGGGCTGGGTGAGACCTGCCTGCGAGAGAGGGGTGCAGTGGGATGTCTGGGGAAGAGCAGCACGGGGTGGGGATTCCCAGGATGTCCTCATGGGAGGCAGAATATCCGGTTGCAGGCACTTACTGTTTGCTCTCTAGGAGCCAAAAGAGGGGAGAAGGACACGAGGCATCGCCGGTGCTCGCTGCTGCCTTCCAGTCAGGGATGGGGAGGTCCGAGGGCTGCTGGATCCCACTGGGATGCCTGGAAAGCCGCTTTGGAGCACCAGGAAGGCAGCAGGGGTGTGCGTGGCACAGGCGAACCGGGACAAAGCCGGGCTGCTCCTGGGGAAGGAACGTTCTGAGATGGCCCCAGTGGCTCCAGTTTCATCCCTGGCACTGGTGAGCAGTGCCATGGCAACACGGTCATTGGAGCCGGGTGATGCTGTGAGTAGGGTGATGCTGGGAGTGGGTGATGCTGTGAGCGGGCTGATGCTGTGAGTGGGGTGATGCTGTGAGTGGGGTGATGCTGTGAGCTGAGTGATGCTGTGACTAGGGTGATGCTGTGAGTGGGGTGATGCTGTGAGCAGGGTGATGCTGTGAGTAGGGTGATGCTGTGAGTGGGGTGATGCTGTGAGTGGGTGATGCTGTGAGTGGGGTGATGCTGTGAGTGGGGTGATGCTGTGAGTAGGGTGATGCTGTGACTAGGGTGATGCTGTGACTAGGGTGATGCTGTGAGCGGGGTGATGCTGTGAGCGGGGTGATGATGTGAGCAGGGTGATGCTGTGACTAGGGTGATGCTGTGAGTGGGGTGATGCTGTGAGTAAGGTGATGCTGTGAATAGGGTGATGCTGTGACTAGGGTGATGCTGTGAGCGGGGTGATGCTGTGACTAGGGTGATGCTGTGAACTGAGTGATGCTGTCTGTACGGTGATGTTGTGCATAAGGTGATGCTGGGAGCCGGATGGCTGCACAACCACCCCCTCGTGTCCATAGTCCTTGCTCCCCAGTACTGCACTACAACCAGTCCCCGGTACTGATACCGCACTATAACCGGCACCGATACCGCACTACAACCAGTCCCCATTACCGCACTATAACCAGTACCGGTACTGCACTATAACCAGTCCCCATTACTGCACTCTAACCGGTACCGATACCGCACTATAACCAGTCCCCATTACCGCACTATAACCAGTCCCCATTACCGCACTATAACCGGTACTGGTACCGCACTGTAACCAGTCCCCATTACCGCACTATAACCAGTCCCCATTACCGCACTATAACCAGTACTGGTACCGCACTGTAACCAGTCCCCATTACCGCACTGTAACCAGTCCCCATTACCGCACTATAACCGGTCCCCATTACCGCACTATAACCGGTCCTCGCTGCCAGCTACTGAACTACAACTCCCGGCGGCCCCCGCGCGGTGTCACGTGAGCGGCGGGAGATTCAAATCGCGGGCGGAGCCTCCGCAGCCATCGCCATGGAGGGCGCGGGGCCGGTGCGATGTGAGTGACCGGTTGTGGGGCTGCACGGGGGTGTCGGGGTCCCCGTGGGGGTGCAGGGGGGTGGCCTGGGTGGGATTCCTTGTGGGAATCTTCATTGGGGTGGGATGGGGGTTAAGGACCCGGATAACGGGGTCTGTGTCCCGTCCCCACCCGTAGGCGAGCGGCTCACGGCGGAGGAGATGGATGAGAAGAGGAGGCAGAACATCGCCTACCAGTACCTGTGTCACCTGGAGGAGGCCAAGCGGTGGGGCTGGATGTGGGGACCCCTCTGCTTCGAGGGGGGGGGAAGGCTGGGATGGGGATTGGGTGATAAGGAATGGAGGGGGGGGTGGTTTGGGATCCTACAGGATCCTGCTCCTGGTGCTTCCCCTCCAAACAGGAGCACCCCATCCTATAGCAAAGAGCTGGGTGCCGACCTCTCCCTGCCATGGAGGGGGGGGTTCTCCTTTGGGAGCTGCTTTTCCTGCCTGGAATGGGGCTGGGGGGGCTGGGGGGGGTGTGTCTGTGATGTGCCCATCTCTGCCCTGCAGCTGGCTGGAGGCCTGTCTGCACGAGGAGCTGCCCCCTCCAATGGAGCTGGAGGAGACCCTGCGCAATGGGGTGGTCCTGGCCAAGCTGGGCCATTGCTTTGCCCCCACCGTGGTCCCTCTGAAGAGGATCTACGACCCCGAGCAGACCCGGTACAAGGTGAGGCTTGGGGGGGGTACATCCCTTAGGGTGCACCCCAGGGCCTGCAGGGTTCATTCCTTTGGGGGGGGGGTGTCACAGG